ATATATACCTATATATATATATATATATTGTATATATATATTCATAATTATTAGTAATTATTTATTAATTATATATTAATAATAATTACATTTTTAACTACTATAACTACTGTCAACTAAGGAACACTCTGTTGTTCTCTCAATTATCATAAATGCAAATTATATTCTGAGAATGTATGCAATGTTTGACGTAGTAACAAAACTACGTCATACTACGATATAGGACTTTAATAATACACGTCAGACGAGAATTGCAACGCGCAATAATGTGTTTCTTGCTAATATCATACTTTTCCATGTAATTTTCAATAATTCCAAGCGATATGATTAATTATCTATCATTCACACATTTATCTATCTATTAACAGAGAAATTTCATAACAAGATATTTATATATACAGCTTGATTCACTTACCATGGCAAACTATTTCTTTCTGAAATATTCTGATTTGCAGAATTAATCCTGAATATATACCTATTTGATCGACATGTTTTTTCATTTCGTAACGCTAGTCACATAAGTATAGTCAAATTTAATGTGCTAATCAAAAGTACCTTTAAACAATGCAATTCCTATGCTTGACTTGAATTCGTCGTTCGTCGCGAGAAACAATCGGGCGTATACGTGCGGCCTGTTTTGCACACATAGATGGAAGTTTGATTCGGTCGATGACACGATGCCACACACGCAACATTTTTCCGTCGCGCTTCTTGAACATTGACGAGTGAGCGACGAGTGTCACATTCGGCGCCGGGGTGACTTGCGGAACGGCGGCGCCGCAACGACGTCGTTCGAAAGAAAGAAATAAAAAGCGGAAAGGGGGTGCACGATAAAACGATGTGCGTGGGCGGCCGGAATGACGGGCAGGAGACGAGATGCAGCAGGGAGGCCGCATGCAACGACAAGAAGTAGAAAGAGAGAGAGAGAGAGAGAGAGAGAGAGAGAGGGACGGAGGATGCATTCGATGAAGGCGCTATCGTGAAGCGAATGACAATCCGAATTTCCGTCGTTACACGAACGGCTTGTGCATTTTTTTTTTACAGACACGCCCGCTTGGCGCCGAAACCATTGATTAAACTCTGGCGCCGACCCATTTTTCCCCTCTCGCGACCTGCACTCCCTCCTTTCCCCAGCCTTTCCCCGATCCTCTCAGGCGACATGCGCCCTGTACGAGGCAAACTTTTTGGCAACGGAATACACACTCGCGTTATTGCCGCACCGATTGAGAATCACTGGGATCACTTGGCTCTCCGGACTAATCCATAAACACCGTTCTCTCGCGCAGCGTCGCAGCATCTATAACGTACTAGGGCTTTAGAGCCGAAAGTCGACACTCGATAAAATACGAACACGACACACATCGCTCGCGAGACTTTTTTTTCCTGTGATATTGACATTGCGATGCTTCACGCGAGAGTATGACTCGATCAGATTGTGATTTTCGATGGAAATACATTTCCTCTATATAGAGACAACAAGGCAAACCGCACTATGTGAAACGGAATGTAAGAATCTGATATTAATGAATGTTTTAATAAATTTCCCCTTATTTTTTCCTTTGTATCATTACAATAACTAAATTATTTTATTGCTATTTGTGCGCTTTTCAATCAGTAATATAAAAGAAAATGCAATATAACAATGGGAAATTAAATTTCTTTCTCAAAGGAATACAACATAATATATTATATATTTAATACATAAATATATAATTTTATTTTTTTTAAATTTAATTTAAAAAGTTACACGAGAATCTTCTCGGCCGCAAAAATGATCTTGTTGTCAAGGAGGACGCGTATAAAAAAAAATTCCTATAAAATTTCCGAAATTAAAATAACAATGAAAAAAAGGCAATGGGAATCAGTGTGGTAAATAATACGCAGCTTAATATTATAACGAAGAGTTTTACTTTCACGTGTGTTTCAGACATTTTGGCTATTTTTCACAGCCGAATCTTCAGTGAATTGAACAATAAATTATGGTTTCTCGCTTTGTTGTAAAATGTGCGCATTCTACTGTAACCGGTTGATGATTATTTTATATATTACTTATACAATGTTGCGGTTATGTGCGTTCTGCTGTATCAGAGGCCATACAATACATCCAGCTTCTCAACGCTTAGACGACATTAGTAAAAAATTTCACAGTTCCTTCACCAGTTACGGTAGAATGCGTACATTTTACAACAAAGCGAAAAACCATAATTTATTGTTCAATTCACTGAAGATGGCTGTGAAAGATGTAAAACACATGTAAGAGTTATCCTCCTCCTATCTAAAAAAAGGTATGTTAAGTCGATAACTTGCATTTCTCGAAATTATTTGTTGCCGCTTTTCCGAGATGCTGATTGGTTATCTCACTATGCTTACTTCGTTCAGCGGCTGTCATTACATATTTTGACAGTTATTATGTGTATTGAGATTTGTTTTAATATTATTGGAGTTAATAGTGTAATAGTAATATATACAGGGTGTCTCGTACTCAATGGTACAGCGCTTGTGGGGAAGTAGTGTAGACCAAACTAAACAAAAAAGTCCTCTACCATTTTGCGATCTTCGCAATAGTTATCGAGATACTAATGATTAAAAAAAAATTTACGCCAAATATATATAAGTGTATCGTACATTAGGTACATCTTATCTAAACCAAAAATATTATTTTAACAAATAAAAGTTATCCAAAAACAAATATGAGATCATACAAATTACCAAA